TATTCAGCCTTTAGAAAGAAGGAAATTCTGTCATTTGTAACATCACAGATGAACCTGAAGGACATTAAGTGATATAGGCCTGGCACAAAAAGAGAAATACTACATGATTTCTCTTTTATGTGGAATCTGGGAAAGTGCAAAGTAACAACTGAAAATTGAGCATCTTTATGCATAACATTTATTCTTTACACCATTGCCACAGACTAGATTGTCAGAAATAAAATCAACAGATCCAAGAGTACAGTTTATGAGTCTTGCTAGAGATTATCAAATTCTTCACAAAATATTAAAGTTTATAATGCTATTAGAAATGTATGAAGGTGCCAATTTAACTATATGCTTGCAAACAATATGTACTCTAATGAAAAAAATCAGGTGGTAAATGTATGGGTTTATCAATCTATGTAGAAAACTCAACATAGTCTCTGATGTTTGAAATTTGCTTATATTTTTTTTTTTTTTTTTTTGGCTAAGAACAAAAGAAGCTCCAAAATTCCTACATCAGGATGCTCATGATTGCCTCCTTGTGGGGGACTTTGCTGGCCACTGGGAAGCCCCAGGGCACTGGACTTTGGCCCGGGAAGTGGGTGGTCGAGGTTACAATGAGTGGACTTGCTCTACTCTGGAGCAGCACTTCACACTGTGTAGGAAGCATTTCTGGTTCATTTCCTCACTTGACCTCAGGACGATTCTGCTTCTGTTTTCATCATGGGAACCTTAGGACTCCAATGAATTTCAGGACAGAGTCAAGCTATTTAGATGGAGGGGAACAAAGCTAGGATGGAACTCAGGTCTTCTGATCCCGAAAGCAATGCTGTTTCAATCTCAGAAGTTTGGTGGAGGCACATAAACAACTGCTGGGTCAACCCCAAAATGTGGTGTAAGACTTCAGATGACCAAAGGATCAGAGTCAGTCTGGCCCACCTTGTCTCCACACCTACAGTCCAGGGACCCTCGGCAATGCAGATTCCACAGGGCTGGACACCAGGGAGTCCTTTTCCTACAAGGGCCTTCCCAGGGAAAGACGATCAGACAGCTGGGGAGTGACTCCAGGGCCTCCCCTAGACTCTTTCTCAGCTCTGCAGGGGAGTCTCCTCTGGGTCAACATTAAACACTGAGGAGTCTCCCCTTCAAGAAGCCAGGGCCTGAAGAACTGGGTAGTTAAAAAGGCATCATCTGCTGTCATTTCTCAAAGCAACCAACATTTTCTGTCTTTTATAGTTTGCTTTATAACAGTGAATGGGGATAGTTCCTGAGGATTTCTTGCAGATGGACACACAGTAAAGAAATGCCATGTACCCTGTCACTGTGCAGGCTCATAAAACTTATGAACCCCGGAGAAGAAAAATGAGAATAGCAATCTACCTTAGCATGAGAAAAACTCAATTCATTCTTTCAAGATGGTTCCTACCATTTCATTTATCATCTAAATTTAATGCAGGGGAGAAATCTCTTTATCCTTTGGGTTAGACACATGTATCACAATGCATGTATTTTTAAACCCCAATGGCAGTCACATGTGTTTCATATTTCACTGGTGGAGAAATAAAAATCACTTTGCAGTAACGACCGCCACCTTGTGGCCAAACATCAGACTTTCACTAGAAAAAAAAATACACTACATGCCAGTAGAGGCTTCAGGGGCTAAACTCTGGGAGTCCCATGGGGCCGCTAAAATTTATAATCGTATATTGTATAATTTATACCTTTTCTTGGAAAACTATGCATTCTATAGTCTTTGGGTTCCTAATCTGTCCCAGGTTAGTTTCTCGTTCTCTACTGTAACATGATGTAACTATTGGCGAGACATTTGACTGCTTATACAGAATCACGAGGATTTTCTTTTCTATAAGTAAAATACCCTTGAAGTTGGGTCAGACATACTTCTTTATTTGCCTGAATCAGTTCTAACTTGAGTTTTTGTTTGTTTTCAGTTTTGAGGATCAAACTTAGGGACTTGTGTGTGCTGGGCAAGGGCTCTACCACCAAGTTATGTCCCCAGCCCATCCATTGGAATTTAGATTAGGGTCCCTAAATACCAGTCAACTGCCTGACTCAGGGTTATCATCCAGTTACAACTATTAACCTAAAATCATAGGAAACCACCCAATCTGTTTGTCAGACCCTAGGCAAGGCAATCTGAGCCATAACCCACATCTGCTGCTTGATTCATGGCATTCACCGTGGTGTTCAGGAGGATGGAGCCTGAAATCCCCGCAGACAACCTGTCTGATCTTTCAGTTGTCTCTCTCAGACCCCAAAATGTCACCCCACTCTTCTCCAAGAAAACAGCTAGATGAGGGGGGTGAGGATGGGCGAAGGGCTTGCACTGGCAAAGACGGAGCACAGAATACCGTTTGGAGGATATTCCAGGTAGCAGTGGAAGGCAGGGAACACTGCAGCTCTAAAGGAACTGAGGACCCTGGAGATGGGAAAAAAGAATTAGGGGCAAGGTGGCAGGTCAGTCCCAGGACATCAGAGCCACTGAGGGCCACTGACAAGGAGGCGGTCGTCTCATGGAGCCTAGACCATGAAGCTCGAGGTGCAGAGGGAGGCTGTAGAAGCCATCAGCTGTCTCCCCCGTCCTTTCCAACACTTAGGCAGCATGGGAATGCACACTCTGCATGCCCTTTAATGCATCCTCCTGTCTCCAAGTTCCAGTCTTCCCCATTCCACCTGTTCTCCAGTCTGCACATATCCCTTCCCAATAAATGCAAGTGCTCCTTAAACAGTAGACTGCGCAGTCTCACCCTCAGTCAGAGAAATGCAAGCTAGACCTTCAAAGATACCATTTTTAAAAAGCTCCCAGGTCACCAAAGCAATACATAGCATGCTGTGATGAGAAGGTGAGGGTGAGAGGCTTCCTCACTCACGCTTTGGGAGTGTGAAGTCAAAAAACACAGCACAGCAAGTGGTAATAAAGAGAAGGTTAAATAACACACAACAAGTGGGGGAGGGAAGAACAGAGTTTCAATGGATTAGACAAAGGGGAATGAAAGGAAGAGAGGGGAGATGGGAATAGAAAAGACAGTAGAATAAATCAGACATAACTCCTTTGTTCATATATGAGTACACCACCAGTGAAACTCCACATCATGTACAACCACAAGAATGGAATCCTAATTAAAATAAGTTATACTCCATGTGTGTAGATTATGCCAACATACACTCTACTGTCATGTATATCTAAAAAGAACAAAAAAACACACACACACACACAAAAGAACACGTTAAATAAAACATGGCAAGTCCTTAAAATGGAATGGAATATCATACAGCCATTAAAAATTAAGCAGCTGGGTGTGCACAAATATAGAACAAGCTCCCAGACATACTATTATATTAAAAATAAAGGACAGAATCATGATGAAGTATGTGACTGCTTTTGATTTTTTTTAAAAAATTAACATGCATGCATATAGGTGTTATGCATGTTTTTATGAACAAAACATTCTCTGAACAGCTACACATGAAACTAATAAATATTATTTCTTTTGGAGAAATGATACAGATATTTGGAGGGTGCTTGTATATTGTAAGAAATTAGTTTCTTACAGTTAAGTAAATGCAATCTGAAAAATCATCACTGTGCTTCAATTTATTCCATGACTTTCCATTGCTCCTAAGATTAAAATCCAAACTCCTTAATGCACCCTCAGTTCCACCAGGCCCCTCCTCAGCCTCAGTACCCCACACGTACTGAGCTGTATTCACACCTGATGTTCTCCCTCACCTCCAGATTTGTGTGCACTGTTTACCAGACATGGCGTATGCACCTTTATTCCCTTTGCCTAAGTAATTCAATTTACCCTTCTGGTTCCAGCTTCAGTGTTAATTTTTGTAGAACTGTGCATCAGCATCTCTGACCAGGTGAGATGCCCCTATTCCACTCCCAGGGCACCTTTTACTTCCCTGATGGGGCAGACCCAGAAGCCACTCTCCCAGAATGCCTTTTGACAGCAAGAAATTCCAACTCATCCATCAGAATCTTGGTCTCCTCTCAGGGTCCATTTTCATTCTTACCAATACCAGAAACTCAAATTTTGAGCCCCTAAATAAGCAGCAGAGTTCCCTGCCTCGGGATGAACTGAGGTTGACGTTTATCTTGACCAGATATTTGTTCTTCCAGCCTCCCTTGTTACTAAGATTAATGGGCCTACATCTAGGAAAAGTTTTGTCTCCCTGATTAAAGAAGGGTGGTCCATGCAGCCTTTTGGTCTCTGCCTCTGTACTTCCTGCTTTGGTCATGTGAGGGTGTGATATTGAGGGATGCTGCAAATACCCTGAGACCCTCGAGGGGAAGACAGGCTCAATGTCACTGGGCAATGAATGCAATCTTAGCATTGTTACCATCAGACTTCTTATCACATGAAATAAAGAACAAACTCTGCATTAATGAAATGAACCCATCCTGTTTCTGTTTCAACCACTTTTGGTTGGGTATTCCATTAACCACAGCCAAAAGCATTCCTCATTGCCTTAACCCTGATAGGGCAGACTCGAGTCCCAAAATCAGTCCGTGGCATCAATCAAAAGGTTTTGTTTGAAGCTGGGAAAAATGCCTCAGGATATTCCAAATCAGGGTGCCCTCCTGGAACTACTCTCTCAGAAGACAATATTTTCAGACCCCTCTTCTGACCTCTTGTGCCTATGTCTGGAGTAAAATCAAGGCCAAATTCATCAAGAAAAATCAGCCTAGAACATTTACCCTACTCTTAGTCTTTGTAACCTTCACTCTGCTAGAGAAAACACATAGGAAGAGTTCTTCATTCTTAGGACACACACCTTTCCCAGGACAACATGAAGGAAGGAGAGGTGAACTCATTAGTTTCTCTCTTTTCCCAGAGGCTGCCAGAAGTCCCCAACGTCTTTGGATGGTCCTACATTCAGAACCATTCCAAAAATATTTCCGATCCTCAACTTTATGAAATCTTCAGAATCTTATTATCTCAACCCCAATGATGGAGGCTGCAGAGTCAGTGAACCCGAGTGGTACTTACAGGGGTCTGGAAGCAGCAGAACAACTGGGTGAGGAAGGGGTGATTGCGGGCCAAAGACAGGATCCTCTTCTCAGTCATGGTGCATTCCACATCGTCATCCTGGAGGATCACGTCCTTCTTCAGCACCTTCACGGCATAGAGGTCTCCTGTTTCTTTTATCCTTGCAAGCATCACCTAGGGCAAAGCAGGAGAGAGTGTGAGGGAGGCCTCTGTGGGTTCTTAGTGTAGGGGCACACAAGTAGATGGGTATACACACAGACACACATAAAGAACATACATATAGCATGCTTACTTTAACCCAGACAGTTCAAGACTCATCAAGACTCACCTTCCCAAAACTCCCCTTCCCCAACACTCGGATGAATTCGAAGTTGTCGATACCAAATCGGTTGGAAGAATTAACCCCAACCCCATTTCCTTCTTTGGTGCCATCCTTTCCCTGTCTTCTTAGGGTCGATCTAGAAACGAGTTTCTGCAAAGAGAAAGAATATGTTGAGTCATAAATTACAGGGTGAGCATAAAGTTTGCTTGGATGGAGAAGGCCTAACTGGGGGCATTCCTAACCTTCTATCCAGCACATGTGGATAGCTGGATCAGCTCAGCTCAGCTGATGATCAAGTTCTGTAACTCAACACTACCTTAGCAGCAACTTCTGGATTGTGCCTACTGCTATGTGGAAACAAATCATCATAAAATATATCTAAGCCAGGAATTTGCAGCTCAAATGGAATGTATGGAAACATGGATGGATGCCTTAGGCTGGTCCCTCTGTGTTCTTTGCTGTGGCTTTTCATAGGACTGTTGGAGTCTAGGAGCGCCACCTAGTGTCCACTTCATGCAAAGAGCGGTTTTCATGTTGGTGCAGAGGATCAAGTTCCTGCAAAGTTTTTGTGATTTGTTTTGGTTTTTTTACTACTTTTTAGTTGTTGATGGACCTTTATTCCATTTATTCTATTTGTTCGTATACGGTGCTGAGAATCTAACCCAGTGCCTCACACATGCTAGGCAAGCGCTCTACCACTGAGCCCCAGCCCCAGCCGTGATGCCAAGTTTTTAATACAGAATTTTAAATTATATGAGAGAAGTGAAAATTCAATGTGAAAATTGGAAAAATTACAAAAGGTCCAAAGGATAAAATTTTAAATACCTAAAATTTCATCAGCCATTTCTCAAAACATATACAGTTTAAAAACAAAGAGACATGCATATTTTCATACTTTAGTAAATTTTTAAAAACAATTATGTTTTATAACACATTTTTTTCTTTAAAAATTGGTGATGTGTATTTTACATATCTTTAAGGATCCTTTCAGAATATGAAAGTTATTTATTTATTTACTTATTTACTTATTTATTTATTGTGGTGCTAAGGGTGGAACCCAGGATCTCATAACTACTAGCAAAGTGCTCTGCCACTAAGTTATATCCCCATCCTTAGGACATGAGCATTAATGGCTGTTCAATAATTCATTTTATGGACATATCATTATTTATTTAGTAATTTTCTTATTATTGAAAACACAGGCCATCTTCCATTTTTTAAACCATAGTGTACATAATACATGCACTCATACCATAGTGAACATACTTATATGCAAATCTTCAAAATAGGGTGGCTAATGAGTTCAGGCTCTGAAGGAAGCTGCCTGGATTCAAGTAACTGCTCTGCAACCTAATCTGTGACCTTGAGCCAGTTACCTTACCCAGCCTCAGTTTCCTCTTCTGACAAAATTTCAGTTATAGTATCTACCATATAAGTTATCATGAGAAACAAATGAACACGTAGCACAGATTGGTGCCTGTCGGTCAATACACTTCAGCCATGCTGTCATTACCATTATCTATTTTTTTCAAGTAACTTTTTGGAAATGAAATCTTGGAAATGAAATCTTTTAGGCCAAAGTATGAACTCTGAAGACTTTTTTTTTTTTTTTAAAGAGAGAGTGGGAGAGAGAGGGGGACAGAGAGAGAGAGAGAATTTTAACATTTATTTATTTTTTTTAGTTCTTGGCGGACACAACATTTTCGTTTGTATGTGGTGCTGAGGATCAAACCCGGGCCGCACGCATGCTAGGCGAGCACGCTACCGCTTGAGCCATATCCCCAGCCCTGAAGACTTCTGATGCATAGCCAACTCGCACTCTACAAAGATGGGCCAATTTACATATCCACCAGCTTTAGTTTCACCGCCCTGCACCAGCAGTAAATGTGGTCACGTTGGTCAGCTCCTGGATCCTTGATGCCCCTTCACAGAGAGGAGCTACCCAAAGGCAGGTGGCTTTTGCAATTGCCCACTTTGGGACATTTATAAGGCAATCTACCACAAGAGAGCAGTTCAAAATCTAACACCCTGAAGATTTTGACCTATTTAGCTACAAAAAGCTTATCTGGGGCAGCTTCTAACTATTGATGCCAATAAACCACTGTTCAGCTGCCTGAAACTTCAAGGGTTTTATTCAACCCCATAAAATAGTGATTGCAGACACAAAATGGGTATCTTAAAAATTCAGTGGTTTTAACAGTTCCTCCTTTAAATCTCTCATTACAGTTTTTTCAAAGATAGAAAAGTGGTACCAGCTTAAATTTCACTTCCTTCACTTATATACTTTGCCCTGTTGGGTGTGCAACAGCTAGAAAACTCCAAGGCTGTGTTTCTCAATCTTTTTTTTTTTTTAAACACATTCTTCTCTTTTTTTTAGACTTAAAGTTCTCCTTTTAATGTTGTAAAGTCATATAGCAAGTAATCCTGATTTTCCTAGCATAACATTAACTAGCATAACATTAAAGATACTTGGTTCAAACAAGAAGGGATACTATCCACGTCTAGAGATTGTATCATTTGGCCTGTGTCATTCCCTCTGTGCTTTAGAAGCCCCTGGCTCAGGCTGAAATCCTCAATGTCCTCTCTTTAGGAACAGCTGTCTTATGCACTAGAAATCCCTCTCACTGGTTTAACCTCCAATATGCCTCTCCCCATAAGACAGATGGACTTGGAAATTTCTGGTAACTTTCGTCAAATCAAGAAACACCTTGTCAATCCCTTGTCTACTAGACAGAAGCCTTTCACTAAAAAGGAAATGAGCTGGTTATTGTTGACATTTTATAAGTTACTAAGAACTTCACAGTGATTGCACTTCCCTTCCCACATACCCAGAGATTAGGCAACAGTTTGATTTAGAATTTTCCAGAACCATGTATAAGGCTGCACCTTACAGATCTCACAGCCATACAGCCATGGCTATTTCTCTGCAGACGCTAGCCAGGAAGGCAGCAATAAGAATGTGCCTGGGAAGCAGCCAAGGCTCTAGCCGACACAGGTCACCCAGGGAGCCTGCATGACAAAACACATCCAGGGCCACTGACCAACTCCACCCACTCCACAGAGTCCAGAGGAAGGAACTCCTGTCAGTTGCTGAATGCAAGAGATAAATTCACAGTCCATAAACAAAAATTGCAGAGCTTCTAGACTTCAGGGCAGTGGAGAACCACAAAGATTTTCAAGTTCAACCCCTTCAGAGAGGAGGAAGTTGAGGCTGGTGGCCACTGATCAACTCTCCTGCCCAGTCCCTAGACAAGGGCATAACCAAGGCCTCTGAGTTCTAAGCTTTCTACTTGACCATACAGACAGTAAGATGATTCTTTTCTTTTCTCTCCCTCTCCCTCTCCCTCTCCCTCTCCCTCTCCCTCTCCCTCCCTCCCTCCCTCCCTGCTTTGTGGCTGTATAACCAATATGATCCTGCAATCTGTACACGTGGAAAAATGAGAATTCATACCCCATTTGAATCAAATGTATGATATGTCAAGATCATTGTATCGTCTTGAGCAACTAATAAAAAAAAAAGAAAGAAAGAAAACAAAAATCTTTCTGCTACCTCCTGGTATCTCTGCGTGGTTATTATTTCTAGTAGCATAACTATATATAAGCTCTTATTTGTGGAACAAAATGCTTTTTTAAAAAATGCAAAAACCTCTGTTTAATGTATCTGCTGAGAATAGAAACTTTGATGGTGGGGGGTCACCACATCTAACAACTTTTAAATTGCAATACATGAAAAGAAGCAAAGTCTCACCGAGGTTGGAGAGATATTTCCAGGCTGGAGGCCCATCCCTGCCAGGGTCTTGGCAAGCTCTACCGCATTTACCCCACAGTTAGGGGCCACATTTGCTTGACATCGAATATGTACATTCATTTTACATACTGGAGGGAGAGGAAAATAAAACACATGGTCAGAAAAGAGCCAGGTTAACATGTGCTTTAACAGAGAAACTTTACAACCTACATGACGAGGACAAAGGAATTATGCAAGACGAACACTGTCATCTCATAAAATTAAGCTCACACTTGTAAAAATTCCTGACATTTTTATCTATTTCTGTTTCGTGCAGAAGCAGAAATCCTGGTCTTCTAAAGAAGAATAGATTTCAAGTATATTTTAATTCTACCGTGACTTGATGAAACATATTCATCTAAATTACAAGTAACAGTCATTTCTGACTTCCCTTCGTGATCCAATATGAAGACAGCTCACAAATAAAAAGAAGGATGTCCACTGACTACTCTTTTCCTTCTCTCTCTCAACATTGAAATGAAAGGCAAAAGTCTGAATGCCACAATAGAGACCACTGTTCAAACAGGATGGAAATGGTGTTTCTGAGAGAAGAGCCAGCCGTGACGTCAAGTTTTCTGAGTATTGTTGTGGGTGGGCAGCTCTCAGAGCTCAGCCACACATCCTGTGGGGCTGTGGTTCTGAGAGTTTGCAGCGTGTAGTTCTAACTGTTTTATGGTAGAAGAAAAAGGCAATTTTGCAAACGTTTGAAGACCAGGGTAAATGGCAGGTGGAAGAAACCAGCAAAGTGAGCTTTTCCTTGTGCTCAGGAAGCTGACTTGGGACATGGAAGGCTCTGAGGTTCAATCAGGAGAAATAAATTCTCAGACAGACTCTTTTTCTTAATTTTTTAGTTTTAGATGGGCACGATACCTTTATTTTATTTATTTATTTTTATGTGGTGCTGAGGATGGAACCCAGTGCCTCAAACATGCTAAGCAAGTGCTCTACCACTGAACTACAGCCCCAGCCCCTCAGACAGATTCTTGACATGGGCCCTGCTGATGGGAAGTAGAACTGAAGCTACATGCAACCAATTTCTGTTTTATGGAGTCAGCCCTTCTTTGGGAGCATGCACAAACCCAGGTTTTATGGGACTTGAATTGTTGCAATTTAGGAAGCCCTAAGAAAAACAATGCTAAATGAAGTAGAGAGGGAATCTTAAATTTAACCTTCATAGCTTCATGGAAAATTCACCTCTCTCAGGAAGACTAGAGCAGACACAAAGGCCTACAAGTGGCCTTTCAAAGCCACCTCAGGACGATGAAAACAAACATTACAGGAGCTAGAGCACTGCAAGCTCTAGTGGTCTTCAGGCCACCAGGTACAAAAGCAATGCAGATGAAGCCCTGCATGGCTCTGCACACAAGCAACAACCCAGGAAAGCACACAGTGACTGGTGGGTTGGACACTCACACCTAGGTGAGACCATCAAGCTGAGGTCAAGCAGCAAGAAAACCCCAAACTCTAAAAATTATACATGAGCAAGCTGTTATTTTGGTTTTGTGAAAAAATGATTATTAAATGGTGTTCTAAAAAGGTAGAAGAATTTGCTCTTTTAAATGACATGTGATTGATCCTTTTGTCTACAGAAGCAGGTTTGGTAAGTCTAGGCAGTAAATAGAAGTTGGTTAGACAGACACACACACACACCAATTCTACCTCCTCCATTGCTCCCCTGGCCCAGAGACTCAGGAGGCATCTAATGAGGCTTCAGGTGCAACCCACAACAGAACATTATGTCTCAGTGGGAGATGACTCAAGGCTAATTCATTATAGGACAAGGGTCAGCCCTCAATGCCATAGAGCCTTTGCAAGGGCAAAAGCTCCAAAAGGTGCTGAGCCCAGTTGGTAAGATGCAAGCCCATAACCAAAAGCTTCAGTGTTCTCTATTCCACCTACTCCTCCAACCTCCTTTAAAGAACTCTTGCAGAAGACCTAGGGCAGCTCCTGCTAGGCTTTGACAACTCCATCCCTCCTTATTTCTGGTGAGGGCATCAGAACTACTCTCCCACCAGTTCTTACTCATAATGCAATCTTCTCTCTTGGCCATCTCACCTCTCACCTCCTACCATCTTCCACCTCTAACCAACATCTCATTTTTCTTCTTTCAAATACCTATTTAAAAACATAATGCCTTGTCTGCACTCAACAACAATTAGATGATAGGCAGCTAGATCATTGAATTTAACATTTGGCTTAATGTTCTATGTTAATTTAGGGATCGGATATAGTTCTCTTCACATGCTTGACAAGGGGCACATAATATAAAACTACTAAGATGCTAACATACAACATATCTAAAACTCTCAGTCCTAGGACAGATACTGAGCCTACAGAACTATGAAATCTAGTAGGATGATGTTCCCATGAAGAAGTGGGCACCCAGAACCTCAACATCTCACTTTTACACTGAAGTCCTTGTCGCATTATGCCCCAGAGCAGGGAGCCACAGTGATCGCAAAACGTTGGCACTTTGTAGTTGTGGATGCTGAATTTGTGTGGGATGTTGATTCCAAACCTCTGTTCAGCAATCTGGGGGGAAAAAAATCCCGAGAGGACAAGAATTAAAATTTCAATATCAACTCTTTTATAAAAAGGATAACAGGAGCCTACCAAATGCAAAGTGTTACAATGACATTTGAGCTGGGTATATTATTTTACTATACTCAGCTCCCATTAATTACTCAGGTCTCATTAACCATACTTAGTACATTTTCTAATGAACAAGACATGACAGATATGTGAGGTGTATATTAGAACATCCACCATTTGTAGAGATAAATAGAAACCAAGATTTTCATTTCGTCTTTTATATTCAAGCCACAGCTCTCTCCCTGCCAATCCCCTCAACACCCAATCCTATTTCCTAGAAGGTTTTGACTTCAAGATTAAATGGGTCTTTTATACCCTATATAATTTGTTAATTTGTTATCACTGTAAGTTTTAGATGTTGTGTCACAAGAGGAAACAAAAAGAAAGCACTCAGAAGACATGGAATCACAGAAGGAAGTCATTCCAAAGCGACATTAAAGTGGCCACATTATTCAGCCCTTCCAGCCTTTGTTTGGCATTTGCATTCTAATAATCAGAGCTCAAAGTTCCTGGTTTAATCTCACATACTGTTTCTGGCAAATAATTACACTAGCTGTATGCTCTATGGCCTACATTGTAATTTGAAGCAATAATGACAGGTCCGAAAATGACAAGGAGGAGAGCAATTATTATTCCTATTGAGCTTTTCAGCCCTCTTTCTCATAAAAGCTGTGGTTCATACCTCCCTGTATGAACTCCTTAGCAATCCTGAATGTGTACATTAAACAACCACTGCGTCCCAGAGTCAGATTTTCCAAAGCATCTGCAAATCCACTGCTAAGTGTCAGCGATAAATTGCTTTTTTCTCCAGAATTTGAAATGTGTGCGTATTCTAGCCAAATGCAATATGAGGGGCAGAAATGAAGTCCCTGTTTTTACATACAGGTATATATCCTTCCTGAAATTTCTTAAGAGGCTGGAGGAGGCCAACAATCTCTTAGGAAGCAGAATGCACAGTTAACAATATACTTGTCGATTCTATTTCATTTAAACCCCTACAAAATAAGCATAAGGGGAATATTGATCCTGTTTTCTGACTGCAACACAGAGAGGTTATGGGCCATCCTGAGCTCACAGAGAAGATCACTAATAAAGGCTAGATTGGGCATGCCAATCTGGGTGGTCAGCCCTACAGATGTCTCTGCATTAGTAAAATGGATCCATAGAGCTTCTGCCCAGCTGACCACTAATGAGCCCCTCAGAAGGCAAGGCCATGCAACACAAGAACAGAAATACAAAATGTAATAACATTTTTAAAAAGGAAAGAAATTTCAATTCTAATACCATCCTGGGCTCACAGATTGTGGGAGGGAAGTTGGGGAGGGGAGAAAAAGACATGCAGAAGGAGGGAGGGAAGAAGGGAGAGAGAGCGTGCATGCATATGTGTACACACACACACACACACACACGCACGCACACACATACATATACACACCCCGTAGGTGCTTAATCAGCAAACTAATAACCTCTTACCTTTGAATCCACTTTGTTGATATTGTTTTGGCAAGTACAGGCTGTAACAATTAGATGATGGCAGCGTTTATGGACGACACAGGTGCACACTAGGAAATTAAATCCAGCCATTACACATTTATCAGATGCTCACAGTCCCGCCAGTTGCAGCAGAGTCAATGAAGGCTGCACCAGACTCAACTTGGACATCTGCCCCCCATGGTGGCAGCCAGCACTCCCATGCTCCTGTCTCTTTCACCATATCTTAACAGAGATCTTCGCTCATGCTCAAATTATCTTTCTTCAAGTCCTGAGCTTATTTCCTCCTCCCTGACTTTATTCCATCTCACTTCTCCATCCAGAGGACTCTTTCCACAGTATAACTCTGCCCCATGATTTAAAATTTCCATTGGCATCTCATGGCAAATCAATAGTGCTCAAAATTTCTAGCCAGGTTTCAGACCCTCTAGAAGTTACCCCAGTCTGTCTGTTACCTTTCTTCTATGGAATCATTTGTTCCAATAAAAACAAAGTTAGTTGATATTTTTTAGAATACATCTTCCGCCTTTTCTAAACACTACCTATGTCCTTTACCATCTCTAGACTATTCTATTTGCCTATCAACTAACTAAATCTTAAGTTTATAAGGTAGTACAACTAATAAAAGGAAAAAAACCTCTTCTGCCATGCATGGTGGCACACACCTGTCACCCCAGCAGCTTAGGAGGCTCAGGAAGGAGGATCGGAAGTTCAAAGCCAGTCCCAGCAATTTAGCAAGACCCTAAGCAACTTACCAAGACCCTGTCTCAAAATAAAAAATAAAAAGGACTGGGGATGTGGCTCAGAGGTTGAGTACCCCTGGGTTTGATCCCTGATATCAAAAATAGATAAACAGACAGACAGACCTCTTCCATGAAAATAGCCTATGCCTGGTCCCCTTCTACACTGAAACCATCTCTCCCTCCTCTGATCTTCTACAGCCCTTAGCCTGACCCCTCACATCAAACCTTCCACATGCAGCCTCACCATGCCTAGAATTCCCAGCATGATGCCTTGTGCCGAGCAGGCATCCACTAAACGTTTGCTGAATGTCTCAATCAATTGCCTGAATATTTAGAACTTTCTGAGTAATATTTTTTTCCTCATTTTCATCCAGATAACTGACATAGTGCAGATGGAATTGAGCTTGTCATTAAAGGATAAACACACGTGTTGAAGCAGTATAAAAATATACATCTCTTTAAGATCCCTCAAGACATGTGGAACGTTTTAGGATTAATCACACAAAGACAGGTGACATGTCAGCAAACAGCACTGGGCCTGAACACACATCTAGCTTTCACCAGGTTGAATTCTGAGGACTGCCACGTTGAAAGTGCTCAGAGAGCTGGTCTTTTTCTACAGGGGATCTCAACCCCGCCTTTCACAAAGAAAGAACTTGATTTTTGAGGCTTGTGTGTGTGTGTGTTTTGTTGTCCTTGGTCAGCCTGGCAAAAGATTTATCAATTTTATTGATCTTTTCAAAGAACCAGCTTTTGGTTTCATAGAGTTTCTCGATTGTTCTTCTGTTTCCAACTCCCCTGATTTCTGCTCTGATTTTATTATTTCTTTTCTTCTGTTCAACTTAGGCTTAAAGTTGTCTTCTCCCTCTAGTTTCCTAAGGTGGAAATTCAGACTATTACCTTTAATCTTTCTTCTTTTCTAAAATATGCACTTATTGCTATAAATGTTCATCTGAGTGCTGCTTTGCTGCATCCCATTATATTCCATTTTCACTTGATTCAAGGCACTTTTTTATGTTCTCCTGAGTTTTCTTTGACACATGCATGTTACTTAGAATGTGTGGTTTAATCTCCAAATAGTTGGAGGTTGCTCAACTATCTTTCTGGTATTGATTTCTAGTTTAATTTCTTTGTGCTCTGAGAAGATGCTTTATATGCTTTCTATTCTTTTACACTTTTATAGCCTAGAATGTGGTCTCTGTTGATGGATGTTCCTCAGGGCTTGAGAAGAATGTGTCATCTGCTATTGTTAGATGGCATATTTCATTACATATCAATTGGACAAAGTTGTGACAGGGTTGCTTAGGTTAAATACATCCCTACTCATTTTATGCCTGCTCAGACTTTTAATTACTAAGAGGCCAAAGACTCCAATTGCAATAGTGGACTTATCTATTTCTCCTTGTAGTTCTATCAGGGTTTTTGTTTTGTTTTGTTTGGGACCAGGGATTAAACCTAGGGATGCTTAACCACTGAGCCACATCCCCATCTCCTTTAAAAAAAAAAAAAACTCTCACTGAGTTGCTCAGTACCTCACTAAGTTGCTGAGGCTGGCTTTGAATTTGCAATCCTCCTGCCTCAGACTCCCAAGGCACTGGGATTACAAGCATGCACCACTGGGCCTGGTTTCTATCAGTTTTGAATCTCATATATTTTGAGGCCTATATGTTACATATATGTGTATAACAGTATGTAGATATTAAGCACTGTTGTATCTTTTTGGAGAACTGACTCCATTATTATTACATATCATTATCCCCAATAATTTTCCTTGCTCTAAAGTCTGCTTTGCTTCTGAGGGGTGTTAGCATGGTACACTTTTCTCCAACCAAGCACTTGGTCTTATCTACCTTAGGAAGATGTGAACAAAGAACTATCCCTCCTCATGTCTCCCGACTAATATTCTTTCCTAGCAGGTGACCCACTGAAAATAGCGACCAAATATCCTTGCACTATAAACCAAAAAAGAAAATAAAGTAACAAGACAGATATTCTAAATCACATCTTTTACACTCAAAACTACAGTCTTGTCTATTCAGAGTTGCTCAACTGATCTTGGTATGTGTGAGATGAGTATCACTATACATCCTGTGCTGGGGAGGCCAGGCAAAAGAATGGTACTAACCTGGTTTGTGGACTACCTTCTCATTGAGGACTGAAATGATAGCATCTAAGTCAATTATTACTGTTGTATTGATTACATATTCAGTTTTCTTTAACTTTGAAAAGTCAATGGAATTTTCCATAATATCAAAATCAAAGTTAGATCCACTACATCTTACTCAGTTTTTCTAAGGGAAAACAGTTTTAATTCGCCTGCAGAAGAGAAGGTGAGATTTTCTCATTTACACATAGACTACCACTGTAGGATATGTAGTGTTAGTTTATCAATCATCTGCACAGTGAAAATCAAAAGGAATGAGTGCTATAGATGTGAACCATGGGGTGATAAAGAAGCCAGTGGTAAGGGAGACCCAAGCATAGGCCAAGGCTGATCCCACCCAGCTACACCACTACTCATTTCATCCCACCTCAACTGGAACACTAGCAAATGGGTTTTATCTTAGAATTGTGAAAATCAAAATAAGTTTACTGTGTAGTAACACAAGATCATTAATAGTTTAATTTTGAACATTTCTCTTATTGTTTTTAAATCAGAAAATTTTTTAAAAATTTGGATAATAGCTTTCTATTCCTTAAGCAGACTAAATGAAGACAGTATTGTACTACTTCTCAACCCTAGTGACAACTGAATGTGAAAAACAAAACTTTATCTTAGACATTCAAGGTTGTACTCACAAAACAGCAATACTTTTTAGTACTTTCTTGTTATTGCACAGACAAAACTTTAAACAATGAAACTTAACCGGGTATTCTGGCTTTAGAAATAAAAACATCCCCTCTACACTGTCTAAAATGCAGCCAAGATCTAACCAGAACTAAGGAGTTATAACTCTACAGGGGTCTCCTTTGACCTATAGTTATTAATCACATTATTAATGGAACGTATCCTGTTTTCTCTTAATAATCATTTTTTAACATAGGAACAAGATTAAACATGATTTTTTAAAAAAATGTGTTCTTACCTTGGCATTGATAACCCTGTTTCCCAAATACTCCCCTGTTCAAAACAATAGAGAAAGAAATCATCATTAGTCAAACATTTCAGCAATAACCTCTTATAATTACAGTCCTTCAAAGAAAATAAGTTTCATCCTCCAGTTCTTTATGAAAACACAATTTCAAAGAGGCAAAGACAATGAGCTTTTTGAGCCCACCCCAACCGAGCCTCACCAAACAGCTCCTCCACCACCTTACTGCCTCACATACACAGAAAGATGAACAGACAGGAAGTAAACATACAGAAGGACACAGAGAGTCCAGCACAGTTCCCTCTTCCCTGTGCCCACATCACCCCTGGAGTCCACAGGGGGGCAGAAGTGCTGCTACTATATGCCCTTCCTTCGGACTTTGGATTTGTCCCTGATACATTCTCTGGGTGATGATGATGATATCCTCATTCTCATTAACAAAGACCATGTTTTACAAAACCTATCAGGCCCTGGGCCAAGTGACTACTATCTCATTTCGTCCTCCTGAAATCCATGGGAGGTAAGCACACATAATAAGATGGTTAAGAGCACATGCTCCAAAGCCAGATGCTGTGATTTAGAGCAAGTTGTTATCTCTGTTGAGCCATAGTTTTCCCATGTATATAGGGGAATAATGATAACAGTATCTACTTCCCAGGTTTATCACAAAGATAGAACAAGTTGTTAAAATGCTTAAAGTGCCTTAAACTTTAAGTACTATGCAAAAGTTTATTATGTAAATAAAATAAAACCATTGTCTCTGTTTTGCACATGAGGAGACAGTGGTGGGTTATATAACTGAAGTTCACATACCCAGTTGGTGATAAGATTCAATGTCAGAGTTCATACCATTAAACACACACACACACACACACACACACACACACACACACACACAATAAACCAATATTTTAAGTAAGAAAGAATATGTGTGAGTATGTGCATTTGTGATAGGTTTTAAGGCTGGTTGAGGAGTTAATGTTCTCTTGGGGGAAAAATTCAGAGGTATTATCAAGTAAGTTTCTATTATGAACATTAGTTGAGTTCAGAGGTCATCACCACCAAAGCCGAAGGGACCAGGCAGGTCACACAAAAGAGGAAAGAGAATGGTGTGACATGAAATAAAGAGCAGCTGGGCAGCCCAGAGAGAGGGGGTGGGACTGTGGCCAACTATAGAGGGCAGACTCTTCAGAAGGGAACGTGGCTCAAAGACGCCGTAGAAACTAATTTTTTCAATGAAAAAACATAATATGATTTTTTTCTGAATATTATAAATGTTACAACACGTTTGTAAGCTTTATAGCAATAGCTCATTTAGGACCTCAAACTCTATTCTTGATTTAAAACGCCAGAAACACTAAGTAACCCTGGGTTCTCACTGCTAAAAGGAAGAAATCCAAAGTAATCACAAAATCAAAGTGCAAAATAATTGATCAATCTTCAGAAATTACTCTGAATTAAGTGTTTCTGCCTTCATTAAATACAATTATTAAAGTCTGTATCACTAACAGACCTCCTCTCATGTACTACTGACCTCTCTCTCCTACTGAGATGCTGTGTATATAAATTCACCCGTGTGGGTGTGGTTGTGTGGGTGGGTGGGGGGTGTTTCTTTATTCTCTTTCCAAATACAGCAAACATCCTTAATTCTGTCTCTAACTGAAGATAACCACTGCTTAAATATATGTTATTTATGTATTGAAAGATACTGCCTCGAATCTTTAGAATTTATTTGAATTATGTTAGCCCCTAATAGCCTGGGGTTAAATGACAGTATAGGATCACCTCAGGCCATTACCTTCCACTACATACCATGAGGCTGAAGACTACTGGGTATTTAGTTTCCTTGCAACAATTAATTCCCATAATGCATCATATGATCCATGCCATCTTAAGATCAATACCATTGATTTTTTTTCTCCCAGGCTAATTACCTAATTTATTGATTATCTCTGTATTGACCCACTAGCTTCTTTCTCTAATTTATGCCTTTTGACCAGTTAATTAGCACTTTTACTAAAATAATTGGAAAAATAAATAATATCTAAAACTTGGATCTAGAAATTATTGAGATCTTTTCTTTTTTTCTTGATGATGGGGTTCAAAATTACTCAGTCAACTTATTGAAGAGGAGGCAAAAAATCAGATCCTAAAAATAGTTCTTAATAATCATGCTTTCTCCTGCTATCACACAGAACCAAAGGGAGCCTCTGATAGAGAGAGGGTCTTAGGAGGGGGAAGCCAGGGGATCTCTTACCAGATGAACTCTCTGCAGTGAGAGCAGTAGGTGGGCTGCCTCAGGTATGTGGCCATAAACTTGTGTCCGTTGATCTGGTGGACCCGCCTTCGCATAGCCCTTTGGCGCTTTCTGGTAAAATGTTTGAAGATTCGGTCTCTCTGGAGAGTGGCTGTATATTAAAATAAAGGTAAAAAAAGAAAAAATGAAAGAAAAAATTAATATATGAAAGAAAAACTTAATATATGAGAAAGTCTCACAGTTCCAATACTTCCCCAGTTTGTTGTTCCTTCAAGATTCAAAACATCTTGAAAAAAACACCTAACTTTTCTTAAACCTGAGGACCCTTCCATTTTGAGGTTAGACCTATGTGAGATCCCAGCGCCTGACAATAACTGGCTATTCAGGGCCAATCCCCCCGCCCAGACCATGAGTTTCCCAAGGATCCTAGGCTCCCCTGTGGGCAGCAACATGGCCTCCCAGACTCGGCTTAGATGGCTGGCAGGTGAAGCAGTTTCTTACTGTTTTTCCCCTTTACTTCTGGTGTCCTCACAAACTGAACAAGGGAACTGCCCACGGCACAGGCTACAAGAGCTGTGTCCCAGAGCAGTTGGTACAGAGCCACCTCTGTTACCCTGGACTGATTTTTGAATTTTGGACAGACCAAAATTTTCTAATCTCACATTTTAAAATAGTGGCTTCTAATCTGAAGAGTCTGGAAACTGTGTATCTTATCAAGATAATAAATTATGTCTTCTATATTGTTATACTAGAATTTTTCCAATGTTGGCAGAAACTTATGATTAATAAAACAAAACTTACATCCTTGATAATACTTTTAAGTAAATCAATAATATAGAAAAGGAGATTTAAGAATCATGTAGGAATAATTTGCTTATAAAATTTAAAGTCTGGAAGAAATATATTTCTTCTCTTTTTTTTTTAATTGACATAATTATACAACTTTAAAGGGTAAGCGCAATATTTCAGTACATTTATACACTGAATTCATCAACTTAGGACACTCAAGGTCATCCATCATTTCAAACATTTACCATTTATTTGTGAAGAGGGCATTTAAAAAATCCTCTCCTCTACCCATCTCGAGTTATGTGGTACAACATCATTAATTATAATTACCACCCCCCCCCCCGTGCCACAAAACACCAGAACTTATTCTTCCTCTTTGGCTATGACTTTGTACTCAATTTCTAGAATAATCTCAAATACAAGTTAAGGAGGAGATTATAGAAAATGAAGAAAACACACAAAAATATTATACTCCTAGAATGGGATAAGGATAACAAAAAGTCTAAAGCCTATAGACTCACAGATTTGCAACTTAAGAAATTTAAAGTTCCATTTGGGCAAAAGACCCAAAGCAGAAAGCTGAAAGAATCAAGTAGGTAGAAAGAGGATTGGCAAAATGTGAGAAAAGGTCACTATTTATAATGTGTAGAAATCGTTAAGAAAAACAGTGAACAATCCAGGAAAAATGGGGCAAAAAATATGAAGAAAAATTCATAAGACCGTAAACACCACTAGCCAACACACAGGCCAAGACCTCCAATCCCGTCCAAAATGGACACTTAAGAACCAGGAGCTGAGGCTGGAGCTGGGGCTCAGCAGTAGAGCACTTGGGTTCGAGGCACTCACCACATAAAAATAAATAAATAAAATAAAGGTATTGTGTTCATCTACAGCTAAAAAATACCTATTAAAAAAAACCCAAGTCATCCGCTACCTCTAAAATTAACAAATATTACAAGAATTGCTAAAGTGTCCGTTTTGACCAGGGTTGGTAGGAATATAACTGGGCTACGACGGTCCTGACTGGGCCCCAGTGGCTATTTTTCCTTACCAAACCTCAGGATTCCCACCTACAAACTAAGGGAGGGTGGGGGGGGTGCTGTTCTCCTGAAGTTTTTCCAAGGGCCAACCAAAGTAACACATTCAAAGTGCATAGCACAAAACCAGGCACCTTAAAAAAAAAAAAAACTGTAGCTATTTCAGGAATAATTTTTGGAGGCCAATTTGACAATATATCTGTCAAAGTTTTAAAAGTACATTTCCTTTCGTTCAGCAATCAACTTTTTGTTTCTATAAAAACACCAGTAAACAGGAATGTATATGCTATCCAGGTGTCAAATGCTACATTCTTCTACCAGTAAAAAGCAGGATCAGCAGGGCACAATGGCACACCTGTAGTCCTCAGTATTCTGGAGGCTGAGATGGGAGGACTGGTTGAGTACACTAGTTTGAGGCCAGACTGGACAATACAGCAAGATCCTGTCTCTCTTACACATACAAGTAGGGTTTACATTAAAAATTCCAGAGAATAAAATTCAGGAACAGCCAAATAAATTTGGCTAAGGAAACAATGTCTTCAGAGGCTCTAGCATAGTTAAAATTATACTTGCCTCATTTTGTGTTTGGGGTGTGCGCAATCGGTGGCAAGCTATCATTCTCAGGTTTCCTGTCTGTCTTAAGAACATAAACTATATCCCTGTCCTCAGCTCTATGAGGATAGTGTCATAATCAATACTCCTGACAGGTTCCTAAAATTTTGGACAAAAGTCACAAAAAGCATAGAAGTCACCATAGTACGCTGGCCTCCTCTATGACACCTTCAGAACTCATTTAGTAAGCCCAAAGTGAGCAGATTTTAATGCTCATTAGTTAGCAAGTGATAACAGGTATCTCCCCATAGCTAACCTAACTCATCACCAGCCTGAGTGAGACCCAGCTTTAATATTGACCAAAGCAAGTTTGGTATTGAATTACTAAACACTCATCATACCTAGATGCAAATTAAATTCTCCCTGAGGCTCTAATTACCAACAACTTACTTATTTAATCCTTTATATATACTATAAAGATTGGCTGAGAGGTCAGCTCACTTGCATCATTAATTGAATCCTATTTTTTTTTCCCTCAGTAGCTATTGCCAAGCAGAATCGCAACCTGTGAATTTTCCAGCTGATTCCTTCTAGCCATAAGGATTTAGAAAGATCTTCTTGTAGCTGTCCACCATGCTGCTCACATCTCAACACCTTCACTCCTGCCTTTGGCCCTTCCTGGAAAACTGTTCCCTTCCTTTGTTTTCCACTTAACGAAGACAGACTGATCTTCACCCTCTCTGCCTCAGGGACCAAGCACCATCTCCAAATCCTAAACCAGGTGAAATGCTTCTAACCTGTTCCACAAAGCCTGGGAGTGCCCCTCAGTCCTTCCCCTTACCCACCCCCCCACCCTGTAGGCCACCTTTCTCTCCTTCACCTCTGCCCTAGGTGCCTCCCACGCACCCCACATAGCCACAGTCTCTAAACTTGACTTTTTCTTCTTCTTCTTCTTCATTCTTTTGCACATGTGCCTCATTGTGTTTAAAAAGCAAACACACACACTCATGAACGCAGTCACATACTCCTAGGAATTTGCAAGACATTGAGTCACATTAAAAAAAAAAACAAAAAAAAAAAAAAAAAAAAACAGTCCCCACTGGCTCCCCTTGTCACTGTTTTCTTGACTGACACCATGGGCAGGAAGAGAGAGCTCTCCCCATGCTCTGTTCACCCAGCTACAGACCGACACCCACTTCACTATCGGAACTCAGAGGGCTCCTCCTCATTACCCTGGCCTCCTGTTTACTGAGGACTCAGTTAAAAGGATTATAAAAGAATATTTAATCCTGCTGTGCCTTCAACCAACTAGGGCTTTGAGAAATCTTTCAGATCACATTTTAACTGAACACGTCAGGCAACCCTGACATGCTTTGCAGCCAAAACTTGCATCACAGCTTCTGCTTGGCTCCAAAGGAGCCCCATGTCTCTAAGTAAATAGGAAGCTGGCTGTGTCCCAACAGGGGAATTCACATTCCAGTCTCCAGAGGTCAGCAGCCCTGCGGCACCATGTCTCTCCAGGAGTTGGTTATGACAAGCCATCCCATTGACAGGGTGCAGAGTAACTCTACAGAATATAGTGAAGATTAACTGTTCTTAACTAAAATTCTATTTCATAAAACTTTGTCATCCCACACACTGGTTTTGAGAACTTTAGAATGGTCAAGTGATTAGAGTCACCAAACTACCCCAGGGTAAGTTTTCACATGCAAAAGTACTAAACTAAAATGTGTTGCCATATGAGTTTTTGTGAAAGATGACCGTATCTCTGAAATGCCTGTAACACTGTTTTAATCTCAATAAACAGCAAATACTTCACCCTTGTTAGTCTTTTGTTCTGATTATCCAAATTTAAGGATTATATTCCAGCAGCAGAAACAAGTATTTGAAACATTCCGATGTGGGACAATAACATGGATCATAGTTCCTTATTTTCAAATCATAGTAGGCAAATTAAATCAGAGACAGAAAATTTGTGGGTTGGCATTTCATTTCCAGAATTACTGATATAAAATGCATAAAGGAAATAACTTTGATTCCATGTAAAATACAATTTAACTCTGTGAAGCTGAATTTGCCTAATAGCACTGTGGTTTGGCCTGCTCTGTGGCTTGTCTTTATGAAGAGTTGTACAGAGAAAGACCAACAGCCTTTCTAACCACAGGCAGGGTGGGAGAGTGCAGTGGCTGAGGCATTGGGATCCGAAGCCCGAGTGTGAATCCTCCTTCTCTCCCTTATAATCTGGGTGACTTGGGCAAGTTGCTTAATGTCCTATGCTTCAGTTTCCTCATCTGTAGAACAAGAAGAGTATGTCCTTCTTAGGGTCATTTGGCGGTCTCATGAGTTAATAAATGTATCACAATTGGAAAAGTATCTGCCAGGTATTAACTGTTACCTATTATAATTGTTGTTAAAACCCTTACCTCACATTGCCATGCAGTTCTAGAAACAGAAAGAATTTTTAATTTAGTGTCTAATTGTCTGGAAGAAGAATGACTACCTAGGAAATCAATACTTAGAGAAGTGGAATGACATATCCAAGATTCATCTAGCTAACCAGGGCCATGACCAGCCTGGGGCTCTTCCATTCTTGAATTTATCCCAGGGCTCTCTGGGTAATGCCATACTACATTGCATCCTTTATTAGTGCAATGACTCGCAATTAGATTCTCTGGGTCTCCTGCCATCCCTGGAAAGTAATATATTTTCTGGAAACAGAAACTAACGGGAAGGTTCAGCGAGGTCAGGCAGCTGATGATATAATTGGGGACGC